TTCATTCTTTTTAAATATAATTCAAGATTTCAATTATGATTATGAGTTTTTGGTTTCCCCTTATTTCTAAAAAAATTGAAAATCTCAAATATGAAAATATATTATTGGCTTTCCTATATTTCTAAATATATTTATAAATCTGAAATGGAATTATGATTTATTGATTTTCCTTATTTCTTAAAAATATCTGAAAATCTGATATGATTTGATTCTTTATCACAAGTTCTTCGCCAAATGAATCCAAGAATGGATTCATTTGGCGAAGAATCTTTGACAAAGATTCCAATCATTCAAATTATTTCTGCCAAATAAATATGATTTTTCTTCTCTTCTCTTCTCTTCTTTTCTCTTCTCTTCTCATTTCTGCTCTTCTTTTCTCTTCTAAGAGAAATTCGTAAAATCTCTAATAATCTTCTTTTCAGAAATTTCTCCTAGATTCATTTGGCGAAGGATTTTTTATAAAACGCCAAATGAAAATAAATTAGATCTATTTGACAGAAATGAATTGAATGATTAAATTCTTTACCAAAAAATCTTCGTTAAATGAATCCAAGAGAAATTTATGAAAAGAAGATCATCAAAGAATTTGCGAAATTCTCTTAGAAGAGAAGAGAAGAAAAGATATATTCAAATACGATTCTTTGTCAAATGAAAAAAAGATAAATTTATTTGCTAGGAATATTTCTGAATTCCTGTGGGGGATTCATAATTGGTGCTTTTGGGCGCAGAAGTCGCATGCACTGAACTCAGACAGGCTCTGAATTGGTGCTTTTGGGCGCAGAAGTCGCTTGCGCTGGTTTCACCCAAAGGAGAATTCAAATATTTCGAATGATTATATTCTTTATCAAAAATTCTTCACCAAATGAATAAAGGAATGGAATCATTTGACGAAGAATCTTTGGCAAAGATTCTAATCATTCGTCATCCATTCCCTTCCTATTAAATCAAATATGATTACGGATCTCCTAAAGAGAAATACTCTAAAATAATCTTCTTTTCAAAGATTTCTTCTGGAATCATGATATTAAGATTTTTTGGCGAAGAATCTAATCATTCATTTCATTTCTGGCAAGCCAAATATGATTGGAAATTTCCTAATGAGAAACCCTCTGAATCCTGAAGACCTTAGATTCACGGGGTGCGAAGCGACTGGCGTCCTGTAGCCACGGCTAGACAGCTCTTGTGACTTTCATGACTTGAGCTTCCACAGTCTTGCCGTTGGTGCAGTCAGAAACGATGGTTTTTTTGGCTAAAGTTGTCAAGGCCTCCCGTCAAAACCTCAACCAGGTGCCTGGTCAGTGGGATGCCTGAGAAGCTTGTGGGTTATCTTTGCCGCGATCACTATTTGCAGAAAGACCTCCCACAGCATCTCAGGAGGTAGAAGACTTGCGTTTCCTTTTCATGTCTCGCAGAAAACTGTTTTGCTAGCTGTCGTGAGGGCAGCTTCCAAAGACCAAGACTGCAGGCGTTGTGGTGGCCTTACACTCCAGGAGGGTCCCGTGACGAAAGCAGTTGTTGAATGTTGTTGATGTTGCAATGGTTGCTTGCGAAAGCTTTTAGGTGCGTTCATGAATCTCCTGACTCTTGCAAACGAGACCGGCGGGCAAAGGTTTTTCCAGCACTGGGCATAGACCTGGACTGCGGAAATCCTGGTCCCCACGCGCCTGTTGCGCGTGTTGCACCAGGTATCAGCAAGAACTATGTGGCAACATGCGGCAACATGTGCCAACAAGTATGGCCGACCTTGGGCATATCGTTTGTTTTGAAGACAGCCACGTCGCCTGCCTTTCAGCTGCTTGCACAGTTGCCGCGCATCTTGGAGAGGCTCGCACAAAAGACAAGACAATCTCTGAGGAGATCCTGTCCAGCGTGGTGGAGGCTGGAGAAACAGGTTGAGTGGTCGGGATGCAAGCTGCGAAGATCCGAAAAGCGATTCTCAGTGCACTAGTGGAGTAGAGCATGGGATGTATCGGCTTTTCAGCTTGTTGCTGAACTCGCGGCGCTGCAGGCTAGTTTGAAGATGACTCGGTTGGCGTTGCGCCCTTATTTACCTTCTCAGGAGGCGAAGTAAACATCGCGAGTCTTTCATGGTTGGAGGGACCCCCGACCTTGGAAATCCGCCGATGCAGTCAGGGTGGGAATGGGAATGGGTGCCTCGGTGGACGCCTACTTCTTGGCCGTGCAGCTAGCCAAAAGAGGCTCAGGGTAGAGTTGAGCTTCAGATCTGTGAGAGTGATTGCATGCTGTAGCTGCTTTGTTCTGTTCCTGAAAGGCTTCGTGACGCAAGTCTCAGAAGCTGGCTCGCAGCTTCCAAGAAGAAGCGCAGGTTTTGTGGCATAGGATTGCGAGAGCTCTGGGGCCTCTGGAGGGGGGAAGCTTCGGTCTCCATACGATCCAGGCCCATATTACGGATCCATGCAAGCCTGATCTCAAGGAACGGACTTGGGCTGGCTTGGAGGGTGGTGAGGTTTCGCCACGCCAGGAATGAACTGATTTCGGAGTCTGGAATGCTGCGGACTCAGCCTAATGCAACCGAAACTCCGAAATCGGTGCCATCTAGATGCGGGACACAGGCACAAGGGGCCCAACAATTGTTAATCATAAACCTGCTCCGCCGCAGGGCTACCTGGACACTAATCTAAAACAAATGAGCTCACCGAAAGCGCACGATCCTATTTCCCTCGCCCTTGGCCTGTGGCAGGGCCCTTGTCGTCCTCTCGGCTTCGGCACTCACCTTCCGTCGCCCCCGAGCAGAGGCATTTTGGGGTTTAGGGCTTCGGAGAGTAAGCCTGGTAGCCCAAAACCCCGACCCTGAAACTTCGGTGCTCAAGACGCTTCAAGCTGCAGGCTCTAGACCTTTGCGCGAGCTTGTGGGGGATCAAGGACATCAAGGCCTTAGTTGAGGGTGCCATGGATGTTTGAATTCGGCCTTTCCCAAGCCAGCGATTTCATGCAAAGCGGATTGGAGGAAGAGTTGCGTCGTCGTCGCCGAACCCAGCCTCCCCAGACCTCCTGCAAAGCAATGCGAGTGAAACTTATGTCGAACTGATGAGGCCGATGCTGCCAAGCTGCCAAGCTGAGCCCAGACCGCTCCTTAAGAGTGATTTACAGTATCTGCAGCTTTTGGGTAGCAAAATCGTAAAGTACAGAAGTTTCTGCTTTTCAATAATCGCAAATGTTGTTGTTTACGGTATTCTCTTCCCCCGAAACAAAAAGGAGCAAGCAACAAACAAAAACACCAAAACAATCAGCACTCCTTGGATTCTCTAGCTACTGCTTTTTCATCCAGCAAAAAGCAAAGGTGCCGGCCAAGTTCTTGGAGCGTGTGCTCAAGAAAGCTTGAGCTGCGGCTCCATTTTCGAAGTTTCATTTGCCAGTCTGACCGCTGCCTGAAAACAGGCAGGCTGCACATCACGACATATCAGGACATGACACCTGAAAAGTTTTTGGAGATTGCATGTGCTTGCAGGGCAGGACAGCTGACACGCTTCTGAAATGCTAGGGGGCCGGGCTAACCACTGCTCCTCTCGCTTTGCTAGAGCACTGATGGTTTGTCGCCTCTGCAGCTAGTTCCATTCGAGCAGTGTCGGTTAGAATCGCAGATCTTCCAAAGATGGGATATTTTGGAACCCGTAATCCTGTCCGCGCTGCATGCCTCGCTGCTGTGCCCTGTATGTTCGAGCGCTACGATTGCACTGCTCGACCACGAGGAGGAAAAGCGGCGCCAGCGGTGGGCAGACTTCGTCTTCGTTCCTGCAAACTTGGATGCAGGCTCAGCGTCTCCTCCGCCGAGTTTGCAAGCTTGTCGTGGACTCGATCTTCAATCCGAGCTTGGGCCCGCAGCAATGGCTTCGAAACGTGAACTGGGAAGTGGTGCGTTTGGTGATGTCACACTGCACGAGGAGGACGGGAAATCGTACGCCCTCAAGACGATTTCCCACCAGCTGCTAAAGCACCGCCAGCTTGAGGCAGCTGCACAGGTGGAGCGCGAAGCCCTCGAAATATGCCAAGGGCATCCGTGCATTGTCCGGTTCTACGGACATGTGGAGTCTGTGGCAAGCACAGTTCTTGTGATGGAAGTGTTGCAAGACCTCGTGGGCGTGTATACTTCTGCCAGCCTTTGGGGCAACCCGGCGGTGGTTCGCGAACACGTGGCGTGTGTGGCGGAGGCGCTCTCCGAGGTCCTACATGCACTCCAAGCAGGCCCAAGAACATGTTGTTGGACGCCCGTGGCTGCTGCAAGCTGTGTGATTTTGGATCCGCGAAGCTTTGCAGTGGCCGTGCTTATAGTTTTGTGGGCACAGCGGAGTACATGGCCCCCGAGATGGTAAGGAAGACCGGCCACACTGCTGCTGTGGACTGGTGGGGTTTGGGCTGCGTCCTGTTCGAGCTGCTGTCCGGCCAAGGACTTTTTTCTGGAAGGCGAGACGAGGTGTTTAGTTCCATCGACCGGGGAGCTAGCGAGACGGCCTTTGCAGACTTGGCCTTTGAGAGTGCTTCCGAGCTTGTCCAAGGCCTTTGTGCCCAAATGCCGCACCTACGGCTACCGATGATGAACGGTGGCAGCGACAACATCAAGACACAATCATGGTATGCAGACTTCCCGTGGCAGAACTTTGTGGTTGAGAAAGGGCAGCTCGGAATGCTTATATGTCTGTGAACCACCAGTGCAGCTAAGCACTTAAAGCATACTTCCTCGTAAGATGAAAGCTGCCGCAGCCTCCTGTAGCTAGAGTCCCTATAGAGGGTAGCTTGTCCAAGGCCTTTGTGCCCAAATGCCGCACTTACGTCTACCGATGATGAACGGTGGCATCGACAACATCAAGACACAATCATGGTATGCAGACTTCCTGTGGCCGAACTTTGTAGTTGAGAAAGTGCAGCTCGGAATGCTTATATGCCTGTGAACCACCAGTGCAGCTAAGCACTTAAAGCATACTTCCTCGTAAGATGAAAGCTGCCGCAGCCTCCTGTAGCTAGAGTCCCTATAGAGGGTAGTTGCGATGATGATGGCACCTGAGGCACCAGACAGCACTGCCAACGCTCTTGGTGACCTCTCGTGAGAGCCGCATCCCGCCGCAAGCATCAAGCTCAAGCTCGCAAGCTTCATGCAACGCCAGTGCATCCAGTGCCGGTAGTGCCGGCAGGACAAAGGCGCAGGCCAAGTTCTTGGAGCGTGTGCTCAAGAAAGCTTGAGCTGCGGCTCCATTTTCGAAGTTTCATTTGCCAGTCTGACCGCTGCCTGAAAACAGGCAGGCTGCACATCACGACATATCAGGACATTACACCTGAAAAGTTTTTGGAGACAGCTGACACGCTTCTGAAATGCTAGGGGGCCGGGCTAACCGCTGCTCCTCTCGCTTTGCTAGAGCACGGATGGTTTGTCGCCTCTGCAGCTAGTTTGTTTCGAGCAGTGTCGGTTAGAATCGCAGATCTTCCAAAGATGGGTTTCTTGGAAACCGTAATCCTGTCCGCGCTGCATGCCTCGCTGCTGTGCCCTGTATGTTCGAGCGCTACGATTGCACTGCTCCACCACGAGGAGGAAAAGCGGCGCCAGCGGTGGGCAGACTTCGTCTTCGTTCCTGCAAACTTGGATGCCGGCTCAGCGTCTCCTCCGCAGAGTTTGGAAGCTTGTCGTGGACTCGATCTTCAATCCGAGCTTGGGCCCGAAGCAATGGCTTCGAAACGTGAACTGGGAAGTGGTGCGTTTGGTGATGTCACACTGCACGAGGAGGACGGGAAATCGTACGCCCTCAAGACGATTTCCCACCAGCTGCTAAAGCACCGCCAGCTTGAGGCCGCTGCACAGGTGGAGCGCGAAGCCCTCGAAATATGCCAAGGACATCCGTGCATTGTCCGGTTCTACGGACATGTGGAGTCTGTGGCAAACACAGTTCTTGTGATGGAAGTGTTGCAAGACCTCGTGGGTGTGTATACTTCTGCCAGCCTTTGGGGCAACCCGGCGGTGGTTCGCGAACACGTGGCGTGTGTGGCGGAGGCGCTCTCCTACATGCACTCCAAGCAGATCATGCATAGAGATGTGAAGCCCAAGAACATGTTGTTGGACGCCCGTGGCTGCTGCAAGCTGTGTGATTTTGGATCCACGAAGCTTTGCAGTGGCCGTGCTTATAGTTTTGTGGGCACAGCGGAGTACATGGCCCCCGAGATGGTACACTGCTGCTGTGGACTGGTGGGGTTTGGGCTGCGTCCTGTTCGAGCTGCTGTCCGGCCAAGGACTTTTTTCTGGAAGGCGAGACGAGGTGTTTAGTTCCATCGACCGGGGAGTTAGCGAGACGGCCTTTGCAGACTTGGCCTTTGAGAGTGCTTCCGAGCTTGTCCAAGGCCTTTGTGCCCAAATGCCGCACTTACGTCTACCGATGATGAACGGTGGCATCGACAACATCAAGACACAATCATGGTATGCAGACTTCCTGTGGCCGAACTTTGTGGTTGAGAAAGTGCAGCTCGGAATGCTTATATGCCTGTGAACCACCAGTGCAGCTAAGCACTTAAAGCATACTTCCTCGTAAGATGAAAGCTGCCGCAGCCTCCTGTAGCTAGAGTCCCTATATAGAGGGTAGTTGCGATGATGATGGCACCTGAGGCACCAGACAGCACTGCCAACGCTCTTGGTGACCTCTCGTGAGAGCCGCATCCCGCCGCAAGCATCAAGCTCAAGCTCGCAAGCTTCATGCAACGCCAGTGCATCCAGTGCCGGTAGTGCCGGCAGGACAAAGGCGCAGGCCAAGTTCTTGGAGCGTGTGCTCAAGAAAGCTTGAGCTGCGGCTCCATTTTCGAAGTTTCATTTGCCAGTCTGACCGCTGCCTGAAAACAGGCAGGCTGCACATCACGACATATCAGGACATGACACCTGAAAAGATTTTGGAGATTGCATGTGCTTGAAGGGCAGGACAGCTGACACGCTTCTGAAATGCTAGGGGGCCGGGCAAACCGCTGCTCCTCTCGCTTTGCTAGAGCACTGATGGTTTGTCGCCTCTGCAGCTAGTTTGTTTCGAGCAGTGTCGGTTAGAATCGCAGATCTTCCAAAGATGGGTTTCTTGGAAACCGTAATCCTGTCCGCGCTGCATGCCTCGCTGCTGTGCCCTGTATGTTCGAGCGCTACGATTGCACTGCTCGACCACGAGGAGGAAAAGCGGCGCCAGCGGTGGGCAGACTTCGTCTTCGTTCCTGCAAACTTGGATGCCGGCTCAGCGTCTCCTCCGCAGAGTTTGGAAGCTTGTCGTGGACTCGATCTTCAATCCGAGCTTGGGTCCGCAGCAATGGCTTCGAAACCTGAACTGGGAAGTGGTGCGTTTGGTGATGTCACACTGCACGAGGAGGACGGGAAATCGTACGCCCTCAAGACGATTTCCCACCAGCTGCTAAAGCACCGCCAGCTTGAGGCCGCTGCACAGGTGGAGCGCGAAGCCCTCGAATTATGCCAAGGACATCCGTGCATTGTCCGGTTCTACGGACATGTGGAGTCTGTGGCAAACACAGTGCTTGTGATGGAAGTGTTGCAAGACCTCGTGGGTGTGTATACTTCTGCCAGCCTTTGGGGCAACCCGGCGGTGGTTCGCGAACACGTGGCGTGTGTGGCGGAGGCGCTCTCCTACATGCACTCCAAGCAGATCATGCATAGAGACGTGAAGCCCAAGAACATGTTGTTGGACGCCCGTGGCTGCTGCAAGCTGTGTGATTTTGGATCCGCGAAGCTTTGCAGTGGCCGTGCTTATAGTTTTGTGGGCACAGCGGAGTACATGGCCCCCGAGATGGTAAGGAAGACCGGCCACACTGCTGCTGTGGACTGGTGGGGTTTGGGCTGCGTCCTTTTCGAGCTGCTGTCCGGCCAAGGACTTTTTTCTGGAAGGCGAGACGAGGTGTTTAGTTCCATCGACCGGGGAGTTAGCGAGACGGCCTTTGCAGACTTGGCCTTTGAGAGTGCTTCCGAGCTTGTCCAAGGCCTTTGTGCCCAAATGCCGCACCTACGTCTACCGATGATGAACGGTGGCATCGACAACATCAAGACACAATCATGGTATGCAGACTTCCTGTGGCCGAACTTTGTGGTTGAGAAAGTGCAGCTCGGAATGCTTATATGCCTGTGAACCACCAGTGCAGCTAAGCACTTAAAGCATACTTCCTCGTAAGATGAAAGCTGCCGCAGCCTCCTGTAGCTAGAGTCCCTATAGAGGGTAGTTGCGATGATGATGGCACCTGAGGCACCAGACAGCACTGCCAACGCTCTTGGTGACCTCTCGTGAGAGCCGCATCCCGCCGCAAGCATCAAGCTCAAGCTCGCAAGCTTCATGCAACGCCAGTGCATCCAGTGCCGGTAGTGCCGGCAGGACAAAGGCGCAGGCCAAGTTCTTGGAGCGTGTGCTCAAGAAAGCTTGAGCTGCGGCTCCATTTTCGAAGTTTCATTTGCCAGTCTGACCGCTGCCTGAAAACAGGCAGGCTGCACATCACGACATATCAGGACATGACACCTGAAAAGATTTTGGCAGGACAGCTGACACGCTTCTGAAATGCTAGGGGGCCGGGCTAACCGCTGCTCCTCTCGCTTTGCTAGAGCACGGATGGTTTGTCGCCTCTGCAGCTAGTTTGTTTCGAGCAGTGTCGGTTAGAATCGCAGATCTTCCAAAGATGGGTTTCTTGGAAACCGTAATCCTGTCCGCGCTGCATGCCTCGCTGCTGTGCCCTGTATGTTCGAGCGCTACGATTGCACTGCTCGACCACGAGGAGGAAAAGCGGCGCCAGCGGTGGGCAGACTTCGTCTTCGTTCCTGCAAACTTGGATGCCGGCTCAGCGTCTCCTCCGCAGAGTTTGGAAGCTTGTCGTGGACTCGATCTTCAATCCGAGCTTGGGCCCGCAGCAATGGCTTCGAAACGTGAACTGGGAAGTGGTGCGTTTGGTGATGTCACACTGCACGAGGAGGACGGGAAATCGTACGCCCTCAAGACGATTTCCCACCAGCTGCTAAAGCACCGCCAGCTTGAGGCCGCTGCACAGGTGGAGCGCGAAGCCCTCGAAATATGCCAAGGACATCCGTGCATTGTCCGGTTCTACGGACATGTGGAGTCTGTGGCAAACACAGTTCTTGTGATGGAAGTGTTGCAAGACCTCGTGGGTGTGTATACTTCTGCCAGCCTTTGGGGCAACCCGGCGGTGGTTCGCGAACACGTGGCGTGTGTGGCGGAGGCGCTCTCCTACATGCACTCCAAGCAGATCATGCATAGAGATGTGAAGCCCAAGAACATGTTGTTGGACGCCCGTGGCTGCTGCAAGCTGTGTGATTTTGGATCCGCGAAGCTTTGCAGTGGCCGTGCTTATAGTTTTGTGGGCACAGCGGAGTACATGGCCCCCGAGATGGTAAGGAAGACCGGCCACACTGCTGCTGTGGACTGGTGGGGTTTGGGCTGCGTCCTGTTCGAGCTGCTGTCCGGCCAAGGACTTTTTTCTGGAAGGCGAGACGAGGTGTTTAGTTCCATCGACCGGGGAGTTAGCGAGACGGCCTTTGCAGACTTGGCCTTTGAGAGTGCTTCCGAGCTTGTCCAAGGCCTTTGTGCCCAAATGCCGCACTTACGTCTACCGATGATGAACGGTGGCATCGACAACATCAAGACACAATCATGGTATGCAGACTTCCTGTGGCCGAACTTTGTGGTTGAGAAAGTGCAGCTCGGAATGCTTATATGCCTGTGAACCACCAGTGCAGCTAAGCACTTAAAGCATACTTCCTCGTAAGATGAAAGCTGCCGCAGCCTCCTGTAGCTAGAGTCCCTATAGAGGGTAGTTGCGATGATGATGGCACCTGAGGCACCAGACAGCACTGCCAACGCTCTTGGTGACCTCTCGTGAGAGCCGCATCCCGCCGCAAGCATCAAGCTCAAGCTCGCAAGCTTCATGCAACGCCAGTGCATCCAGTGCCGGTAGTGCCGGCAGGACAAAGGCGCAGGCCAAGTTCTTGGAGCGTGTGCTCAAGAAAGCTTGAGCTGCGGCTCCATTTTCGAAGTTTCATTTGCCAGTCTGACCGCTGCCTGAAAACAGGCAGGCTGCACATCACGACATATCAGGACATTACACCTGAAAAGTTTTTGGAGACAGCTGACACGCTTCTGAAATGCTAGGGGGCCGGGCTAACCGCTGCTCCTCTCGCTTTGCTAGAGCACGGATGGTTTGTCGCCTCTGCAGCTAGTTTGTTTCGAGCAGTGTCGGTTAGAATCGCAGATCTTCCAAAGATGGGTTTCTTGGAAACCGTAATCCTGTCCGCGCTGCATGCCTCGCTGCTGTGCCCTGTATGTTCGAGCGCTACGATTGCACTGCTCGACCACGAGGAGGAAAAGCGGCGCCAGCGGTGGGCAGACTTCGTCTTCGTTCCTGCAAACTTGGATGCCGGCTCAGCGTCTCCTCCGCAGAGTTTGGAAGCTTGTCGTGGACTCGATCTTCAATCCGAGCTTGGGCCCGCAGCAATGGCTTCGAAACGTGAACTGGGAAGTGGTGCGTTTGGTGATGTCACACTGCACGAGGAGGACGGGAAATCGTACGCCCTCAAGACGATTTCCCACCAGCTGCTAAAGCACCGCCAGCTTGAGGCCGCTGCACAGGTGGAGCGCGAAGCCCTCGAAATATGCCAAGGACATCCGTGCATTGTCCGGTTCTACGGACATGTGGAGTCTGTGGCAAACACAGTTCTTGTGATGGAAGTGTTGCAAGACCTCGTGGGTGTGTATACTTCTGCCAGCCTTTGGGGCAACCCGGCGGTGGTTCGCGAACACGTGGCGTGTGTGGCGGAGGCGCTCTCCTACATGCACTCCAAGCAGATCATGCATAGAGATGTGAAGCCCAAGAACATGTTGTTGGACGCCCGTGGCTGCTGCAAGCTGTGTGATTTTGGATCCGCGAAGCTTTGCAGTGGCCGTGCTTATAGTTTTGTGGGCACAGCGGAGTACATGGCCCCCGAGATGGTAAGGAAGACCGGCCACACTGCTGCTGTGGACTGGTGGGGTTTGGGCTGCGTCCTGTTCGAGCTGCTGTCCGGCCAAGGACTTTTTTCTGGAAGGCGAGACGAGGTGTTTAGTTCCATCGACCGGGGAGTTAGCGAGACGGCCTTTGCAGACTTGGCCTTTGAGAGTGCTTCCGAGCTTGTCCAAGGCCTTTGTGCCCAAATGCCGCACTTACGTCTACCGATGATGAACGGTGGCATCGACAACATCAAGACACAATCATGGTATGCAGACTTCCTGTGGCCGAACTTTGTGGTTGAGAAAGTGCAGCTCGGAATGCTTATATGCCTGTGAACCACCAGTGCAGCTAAGCACTTAAAGCATACTTCCTCGTAAGATGAAAGCTGCCGCAGCCTCCTGTAGCTAGAGTCCCTATAGAGGGTAGTTGCGATGATGATGGCACCTGAGGCACCAGACAGCACTGCCAACGCTCTTGGTGACCTCTCGTGAGAGCCGCATCCCGCCGCAAGCATCAAGCTCAAGCTCGCAAGCTTCATGCAACGCCAGTGCATCCAGTGCCGGTAGTGCCGGCAGGACAAAGGCGCAGGCCAAGTTCTTGGAGCGTGTGCTCAAGAAAGCTTGAGCTGCGGCTCCATTTTCGAAGTTTCATTTGCCAGTCTGACCGCTGCCTGAAAACAGGCAGGCTGCACATCACGACATATCAGGACATTACACCTGAAAAGTTTTTGGAGACAGCTGACACGCTTCTGAAATGCTAGGGGGCCGGGCTAACCGCTGCTCCTCTCGCTTTGCTAGAGCACGGATGGTTTGTCGCCTCTGCAGCTAGTTTGTTTCGAGCAGTGTCGGTTAGAATCGCAGATCTTCCAAAGATGGGTTTCTTGGAAACCGTAATCCTGTCCGCGCTGCATGCCTCGCTGCTGTGCCCTGTATGTTCGAGCGCTACGATTGCACTGCTCGACCACGAGGAGGAAAAGCGGCGCCAGCGGTGGGCAGACTTCGTCTTCGTTCCTGCAAACTTGGATGCCGGCTCAGCGTCTCCTCCGCAGAGTTTGGAAGCTTGTCGTGGACTCGATCTTCAATCCGAGCTTGGGCCCGCAGCAATGGCTTCGAAACGTGAACTGGGAAGTGGTGCGTTTGGTGATGTCACACTGCACGAGGAGGACGGGAAATCGTACGCCCTCAAGACGATTTCCCACCAGCTGCTAAAGCACCGCCAGCTTGAGGCCGCTGCACAGGTGGAGCGCGAAGCCCTCGAAATATGCCAAGGACATCCGTGCATTGTCCGGTTCTACGGACATGTGGAGTCTGTGGCAAACACAGTTCTTGTGATGGAAGTGTTGCAAGACCTCGTGGGTGTGTATACTTCTGCCAGCCTTTGGGGCAACCCGGCGGTGGTTCGCGAACACGTGGCGTGTGTGGCGGAGGCGCTCTCCTACATGCACTCCAAGCAGATCATGCATAGAGATGTGAAGCCCAAGAACATGTTGTTGGACGCCCGTGGCTGCTGCAAGCTGTGTGATTTTGGATCCGCGAAGCTTTGCAGTGGCCGTGCTTATAGTTTTGTGGGCACAGCGGAGTACATGGCCCCCGAGATGGTAAGGAAGACCGGCCACACTGCTGCTGTGGACTGGTGGGGTTTGGGCTGCGTCCTGTTCGAGCTGCTGTCCGGCCAAGGACTTTTTTCTGGAAGGCGAGACGAGGTGTTTAGTTCCATCGACCGGGGAGTTAGCGAGACGGCCTTTGCAGACTTGGCCTTTGAGAGTGCTTCCGAGCTTGTCCAAGGCCTTTGTGCCCAAATGCCGCACTTACGTCTACCGATGATGAACGGTGGCATCGACAACATCAAGACACAATCATGGTATGCAGACTTCCTGTGGCCGAACTTTGTGGTTGAGAAAGTGCAGCTCGGAATGCTTATATGCCTGTGAACCACCAGTGCAGCTAAGCACTTAAAGCATACTTCCTCGTAAGATGAAAGCTGCCGCAGCCTCCTGTAGCTAGAGTCCCTATAGAGGGTAGTTGCGATGATGATGGCACCTGAGGCACCAGACAGCACTGCCAACGCTCTTGGTGACCTCTCGTGAGAGCCGCATCCCGCCGCAAGCATCAAGCTCAAGCTCGCAAGCTTCATGCAACGCCAGTGCATCCAGTGCCGGTAGTGCCGGCAGGACAAAGGCGCAGGCCAAGTTCTTGGAGCGTGTGCTCAAGAAAGCTTGAGCTGCGGCTCCATTTTCGAAGTTTCATTTGCCAGTCTGACCGCTGCCTGAAAACAGGCAGGCTGCACATCACGACATATCAGGACATTACACCTGAAAAGTTTTTGGAGACAGCTGACACGCTTCTGAAATGCTAGGGGGCCGGGCTAACCGCTGCTCCTCTCGCTTTGCTAGAGCACGGATGGTTTGTCGCCTCTGCAGCTAGTTTGTTTCGAGCAGTGTCGGTTAGAATCGCAGATCTTCCAAAGATGGGTTTCTTGGAAACCGTAATCCTGTCCGCGCTGCATGCCTCGCTGCTGTGCCCTGTATGTTCGAGCGCTACGATTGCACTGCTCGACCACGAGGAGGAGAAGCGGCGCCGACGGTGGGCACTCTTCGCCTTCGTTCCTGCAAACTTGGATGCCGGCTCAGCGTCTCCTCCGCAGAGTTTGGAAGCTTGTCGTGGACTCGATCTTCAATCCGAGCTTGGGTCCGCAGCAATGGCTTCGAAGCCTGAACTGGGAAGTGGTGCGTTTGGTGATGTCACACTGCACGAGGAGGACGGGAAATCGTACGCCCTCAAGACGATTTCCCACCAGCTGCTAAAGCACCGCCAGCTTGAGGCCGCTGCACAGGTGGAGCGCGAAGCCCTCGAATTATGCCAAGGACATCCGTGCATTGTCCGGTTCTACGGACATGTGGAGTCTGTGGCAAACACAGTGCTTGTGATGGAAGTGTTGCAAGACCTCGTGGGTGTGTATACTTCTGCCAGCCTTTGGGGCAACCCGGCGGTGGTTCGCGAACACGTGGCGTGTGTGGCGGAGGCGCTCTCCTACATGCACTCCAAGCAGATCATGCATACCAGGAGGACACTTTGAACTTACGGACTTATAACCCACTTATAAGTGACTTAGGTTGGAGTATTTATAAGTGAGTTATAAGTAACTTATAAGTAACTTATAAGTAGACCTAAGTCCTACAGGTTTTCACAAAATTGTATTTTGTACGATCGCCGTCCGTTTGCCAGGAATGGTGATTTTCGCATCCCATTTTCGCAACCGCCAACTGGACACTCTCGCACGTCCGACGCAGGCAGCGTAGCCCGTGCTGGCGGCGTTGGGAGACTGCCTTGCTCAAGCGGCAATTGTGGCACTGCAAGGTTTCCACCGTCTGCTCGGCTTGGGTTCTGGTAGCTGGGTTTGGGGTTGAGGGTATAGCGGCATGACAGCTCTCGCAAGCACGTCGCATGATCTCGCAATTGGCCAGTATTTTATCAGGGTGGCAAAAATGCTGCGGAACGTAGAGCAGGATGTTAGTGAGTTTTTTTGCGTGGCCCGGCGCGTGGAAACATGACGCACTGGTGCGGCTGCCATAGCGCGGCTACAAGTGGGAAAACGGACAAAACCTTGAGGCTGCAATGGCAAGTCGAGCTACAAGGAAAGCCGATTTATCACAACAACATGACACGAAAAGCAACAACAAAGACAACAAAAAAAAGGTGGTTCGTAAGTAGTTATAAGTCCACATAAGTCCGCATAAGTCCGACAGGCCAAGTAATTATAAGTGACTTATAAACATTTATAAGTTCAACAAAAATCGACATACTTATAACTCACTTATAACTCAGTTACAGGATTTATAACTAAGTTATAACCAAGTTATAAACAAGTTATATCCAAAGCGCCCTCCTGGTAGAGACGTGAAGCCCAAGAACATGTTGTTGGACGCCCGTGGCTGCTGCAAGCTGTGTGATTTTGGATCCGCGAAGCTTTGCAGTGGCCGGGCTTATAGTTTTGTGGGCACAGCGGAGTACATGGCCCCCGAGATGGTAAGGAAGACCGGCCACACTGCTGCTGTGGACTGGTGGGGTTTGGGCTGCGTCCTTTTCGAGCTGCTGTCCGGCCAAGGACTTTTTTCTGGAAGGCGAGACGAGGTGTTTAGTTCCATCGACCGGGGAGTTAGCGAGACGGCCTTTGCAGACTTGGCCTTTGAGAGTGCTTCCGAGCTTGTCCAAGGCCTTTGTGCCCAAATGCCGCACTTACGTCTACCGATGATGAACGGTGGCATCGACAACATCAAGACACAATCATGGTATGCAGACTTCCTGTGGCCGAACTTTGTGGTTGAGAAAGTGCAGCTCGGAATGCTTATATGCCTGTGAACCACCAGTGCAGCTAAGCACTTAAAGCATACTTCCTCGTAAGATGAAAGCTGCCGCAGCCTCCTGTAGCTAGAGTCCCTATAGAGGGTAGTTGCGATGATGATGGCACCTGAGGCACCAGACAGCACTGCCAACGCTCTTGGTGACCTCTCGTGAGAGCCGCATCCCGCCGCAAGCATCAAGCTCAAGCTCGCAAGCTTCATGCAACGCCAGTGCATCCAGTGCCGGTAGTGCCGGCAGGACAAAGGCGCAGGCCAAGTTCTTGGAGCGTGTGCTCAAGAAAGCTTGAGCTGCGGCTCCATTTTCGAAGTTTCATTTGCCAGTCTGACCGCTGCCTGAAAACAGGCAGGCTGCGCATCACGACATATCAGGACATGACACCTGAAAAGTTTTGGAGATTGCATGTGCTTGAAGGGCAGGACAGCTGACACGCTTCTGAAATGCTAGGGGCCGGGCTAACCGCTGCTCCTCTCGCTTTGCTAGAGCACGGATGGTTTGTCGCCTCTGCAGCTAGTTTGTTTCGAGCAGTGTCGGTTAGAATCGCAGATCTTCCAAAGATGGGTTTCTTGGAAACCGTAATCCTGTCCGCGCTGCATGCCTCGCTGCTGTGCCCTGTATGTTCGAGCGCTACGATTGCACTGCTCGACCACGAGGAGGAAAAGCGGCGCCAGCGGTGGGCAGACTTCGTCTTCGTTCCTGCAAACTTGGATGCCGGCTCAGCGTCTCCTCCGCAGAGTTTGGAAGCTTGTCGTGGACTCGATCTTCAATCCGAGCTTGGGCCCGCAGCATGGCTTCGAAACGTGAACTGGGAAGTGGTGCTTCGAAACGTGAACTGGGAAGTGGTGCGTTTGGTGCATGTCACACTGCACGAGGAGGACAAATCGTACGCCGCTCAAGCTACGAAGAGCCAGCTGCTAAAGCATCGCAGCCAGCTGTTGCATGGCTGCTGTGCTGCTACGAGCACTGCTCGACCACGAGGAGGAAAAGCGGCGCCAGCGGTGGGCAGACTTCGTCTTCGTTCCTGCAAACTTGGATCAGCGTCTCCTCCGCAGAGTTTGGAAGCTTGTCGTGGACTCGATCTTCAATCCGAGCTTGGGCCCGCAGCAATGGCTTCGAAACGTGAACTGGGAAGTGGTGCGTTTGGTGATGTCACACTGCACGAGGAGGACGGGAAATCGTACGCCCTCAAGACGATTTCCCACCAGCTGCTAAAGCACCGCCAGCTTGAGGCCGCTGCACAGGTGGAGCGCGAAGCCCTCGAAATATGCCAAGGACATCCGTGCATTGTCCGGTTCTACGGACATGTGGAGTCTGTGGCAAACACAGTTCTTGTGATGGAAGTGTTGCAAGACCTCGTGGGTGTGTATACTTCTGCCAGCCTTTGGGGCAACCCGGCGGTGGTTCGCGAACACGTGGCGTGTGTGGCGGAGGCGCTCTCCTACATGCACTCCAAGCAGATCATGCATAGAGATGTGAAGCCCAAGAACATGTTGTTGGACGCCCGTGGCTGCTGCAAGCTGTGTGATTTTGGATCCGCGAAGCTTTGCAGTGGCCGTGCTTATAGTTTTGTGGGCACAGCGGAGTACATGGCCCCCGAGATGGTAAGGAAGACCGGCCACACTGCTGCTGTGGACTGGTGGGGTTTGGGCTGCGTCCTGTTCGAGCTGCTGTCCGGCCAAGGACTTTTTTCTGGAAGGCGAGACGAGGTGTTTAGTTCCATCGACCGGGGAGTTAGCGAGACGGCCTTTGCAGACTTGGCCTTTGAGAGTGCTTCCGAGCTTGTCCAAGGCCTTTGTGCCCAAATGCCGCACTTACGTCTACCGATGATGAACGGTGGCATCGACAACATCAAGACACAATCATGGTATGCAGACTTCCTGTGGCCGAACTTTGTGGTTGAGAAAGTGCAGCTCGGAATGCTTATATGCCTGTGAACCACCAGTGCAGCTAAGCACTTAAAGCATACTTCCTCGTAAGATGAAAGCTGCCGCAGCCTCCTGTAGCTAGAGTCCCTATAGAGGGTAGTTGCGATGATGATGGCACCTGAGGCACCAGACAGCACTGCCAACGCTCTTGGTGACCTCTCGTGAGAGCCGCATCCCGCCGCAAGCATCAAGCTCAAGCTCGCAAGCTTCATGCAACGCCAGTGCATCCAGTGCCGGTAGTGCCGGCAGGACAAAGGCGCAGGCCAAGTTCTTGGAGCGTGTGCTCAAGAAAGCTTGAGCTGCGGCTCCATTTTCGAAGTTTCATTTGCCAGTCTGACCGCTGCCTGAAAACAGGCAGGCTGCACATCACGACATATCAGGACATTACACCTGAAAAGTTTTTGGAGACAGCTGACACGCTTCTGAAATGCTAGGGGGCCGGGCTAACCGCTGCTCCTCTCGCTTTGCTAGAGCACGGATGGTTTGTCGCCTCTGCAGCTAGTTTGTTTCGAGCAGTGTCGGTTAGAATCGCAGATCTTCCAAAGATGGGTTTCTTGGAAACCGTAATCCTGTCCGCGCTGCATGCCTCGCTGCTGTGCCCTGTATGTTCGAGCGCTACGATTGCACTGCTCGACCACGAGGAGGAAAAGCGGCGCCAGCGGTGGGCAGACTTCGTCTTCGTTCCTGCAAACTTGGATGCCGGCTCAGCGTCTCCTCCGCAGAGTTTGGAAGCTTGTCGTGGACTCGATCTTCAATCCGAGCTTGGGCCCGCAGCAATGGCTTCGAAACGTGAACTGGGAAGTGGTGCGTTTGGTGATGTCACACTGCACGAGGAGGACGGGAAATCGTACGCCCTCAAGACGATTTCCCACCAGCTGCTAAAGCACCGCCAGCTTGAGGCCGCTGCACAGGTGGAGCGCGAAGCCCTCGAAATATGCCAAGGACATCCGTGCATTGTCCGGTTCTACGGACATGTGGAGTCTGTGGCAAACACAGTTCTTGTGATGGAAGTGTTGCAAGACCTCGTGGGTGTGTATACTTCTGCCAGCCTTTGGGGCAACCCGGCGGTGGTTCGCGAACACGTGGCGTGTGTGGCGGAGGCGCTCTCCTACATGCACTCCAAGCAGATCATGCATAGAGATGTGAAGCCCAAGAACATGTTGTTGGACGCCCGTGGCTGCTGCAAGCTGTGTGATTTTGGATCCGCGAAGCTTTGCAGTGGCCGTGCTTATAGTTTTGTGGGCACAGCGGAGTACATGGCCCCCGAGATGGTAAGGAAGACCGGCCACACTGCTGCTGTGGACTGGTGGGGTTTGGGCTGCGTCCTGTTCGAGCTGCTGTCCGGCCAAGGACTTTTTTCTGGAAGGCGAGACGAGGTGTTTAGTTCCATCGACCGGGGAGTTAGCGAGACGGCCTTTGCAGACTTGGCCTTTGAGAGTGCTTCCGAGCTTGTCCAAGGCCTTTGTGCCCAAATGCCGCACTTACGTCTACCGATGATGAACGGTGGCATCGACAACATCAAGACACAATCATGGTATGCAGACTTCCTGTGGCCGAACTTTGTGGTTGAGAAAGTGCAGCTCGGAATGCTTATATGCCTGTGAACCACCAGTGCAGCTAAGCACTTAAAGCATACTTCCTCGTAAGATGAAAGCTGCCGCAGCCTCCTGTAGCTAGAGTCCCTATAGAGGGTAGTTGCGATGATGATGGCACCTGAGGCACCAGACAGCACTGCCAACGCTCTTGGTGACCTCTCGTGAGAGCCGCATCCCGCCGCAAGCATCAAGCTCAAGCTCGCAAGCTTCATGCAACGCCAGTGCATCCAGTGCCGGTAGTGCCGGCAGGACAAAGGCGCAGGCCAAGTTCTTGGAGCGTGTGCTCAAGAAAGCTTGAGCTGCGGCTCCATTTTCGAAGTTTCATTTGCCAGTCTGACCGCTGCCTGAAAACAGGCAGGCTGCACATCACGACATATCAGGACATTACACCTGAAAAGTTTTTGGAGACAGCTGACACGCTTCTGAAATGCTAGGGGGCCGGGCTAACCGCTGCTCCTCTCGCTTTGCTAGAGCACGGATGGTTTGTCGCCTCTGCAGCTAGTTTGTTTCGAGCAGTGTCGGTTAGAATCGCAGATCTTCCAAAGATGGGTTTCTTGGAAACCGTAATCCTGTCCGCGCTGCATGCCTCGCTGCTGTGCCCTGTATGTTCGAGCGCTACGATTGCACTGCTCGACCACGAGGAGGAAAAGCGGCGCCAGCGGTGGGCAGACTTCGTCTTCGTTCCTGCAAACTTGGATGCCGGCTCAGCGTCTCCTCCGCAGAGTTTGGAAGCTTGTCGTGGACTCGATCTTCAATCCGAGCTTGGGCCCACAGCAATGGCTTCGAAACGTGAACTGGGAAGTGGTGCGTTTGGTGATGTCACACTGCGAGGAGGACGGGAAATCGTACGCCCTCAAGACGATTTCCCACCAGCTGCTAAAGCACCGCCAGCTTGAGGCCGCTGCACAGGTGGAGCGCGAAGCCCTCGAAATATGCCAAGGACATCCGTGCATTGTCCGGTTCTACGGACATGTGGAGTCTGTGGCAAACACAGTTCTTGTGATGGAAGTGTTGCAAGACCTCGTGGGTGTGTATACTTCTGCCAGCCTTTGGGGCAACCCGGCGGTTCGCGAACACGTGGCGTGTGTGGCGGAGGCGCTCTCCTACATGCACTCCAAGCAGATCATGCATAGAGATGTGAAGCCCAAGAACATGTTGTTGGACGCCCGTGGCTGCTGCAATTTTGGATCCGCGAAGCTTTGCAGTGGCCGTGCTTATAGTTTTGTGGGCACAGCGGAGTACATGGCCCCCGAGATGGTAAGGAAGACACACTGCTGCGAGGCCGCGAGCTGTCCGGAGGGCCTTTGCATCGAGAGTGCTTCCGAGACAAGGCCTTTGAAGTGCACCGTCTACCGATGATGAAATACAACGGTGGCCGAACATGCAGCTCGGAATGCTAAGCACTTAAAGCAGTAAGATGCTATAGAGGGTAGTTGCGATGATGATGGCACCTGAGGCACCAGATGGCACTGCCAACGCTCTTGGTGACCTCTCGTGAGAGCCGCATCCCGCCGCAAGCATCAAGCTCAAGCTCGCAAGCTTCATGCAACGCCAGTGCATCCAGTGCCGGTAGTGCCGGCAGGACAAAGGCGCAGGCCAAGTTCTTGGAGCGTGTGCTCAAGAAAGCTTGAGCTGCGGCTCCATTTTCGAAGTTTCATTTGCCAGTCTGACCGCTGCCTGAAAACAGGCAGGCTGCACATCACGACATATCAGGACATTACACCTGAAAAGTTTTTGGAGACAGCTGACACGCTTCTGAAATGCTAGGGGGCCGGGCTAACCGCTGCTCCTCTCGCTTTGCTAGAGCACGGATGGTTTGTCGCCTCTGCAGCTAGTTTGTTTCGAGCAGTGTCGGTTAGAATCGCAGATCTTCCAAAGATGGGTTTCTTGGAAACCGTAATCCTGTCCGCGCTGCATGCCTCGCTGCTGTGCCCTGTATGTTCGAGCGCTACGATTGCACTGCTCGACCACGAGGAGGAAAAGCGGCGCCAGCGGTGGGCAGACTTCGTCTTCGTTCCTGCAAACTTGGATGCCGGCTCAGCGTCTCCTCCGCAGAGTTTGGAAGCTTGTCGTGGACTCGATCTTCAATCCGAGCTTGGGCCCGCAGCAATGGCTTCGAAACGTGAACTGGGAAGTGGTGCGTTTGGTGATGTCACACTGCACGAGGAGGACGGGAAATCGTACGCCCTCAAGACGATTTCCCACCAGCTGCTAAAGCACCGCCAGCTTGAGGCCGCTGCACAGGTGGAGCGCGAAGCCCTCGAAATATGCCAAGGACATCCGTGCATTGTCCGGTTCTACGGACATGTGGAGTCTGTGGCAAACACAGTTCTTGTGATGGAAGTGTTGCAAGACCTCGTGGGTGTGTATACTTCTGCCAGCCTTTGGGGCAACCCGGCGGTGGTTCGCGAACACGTGGCGTGTGTGGCGGAGGCGCTCTCCTACATGCACTCCAAGCAGATCATGCATAGAGATGTGAAGCCCAAGAACATGTTGTTGGACGCCCGTGGCTGCTGCAAGCTGTGTGATTTTGGATCCGCGAAGCTTTGCAGTGGCCGTGCTTATAGTTTTGTGGGCACAGCGGAGTACATGGCCCCCGAGATGGTAAGGAAGACCGGCCACACTGCTGCTGTGGACTGGTGGGGTTTGGGCTGCGTCCTGTTCGAGCTGCTGTCCGGCCAAGGACTTTTTTCTGGAAGGCGAGACGAGGTGTTTAGTTCCATCGACCGGGGAGTTAGCGAGACGGCCTTTGCAGACTTGGCCTTTGAGAGTGCTTCCGAGCTTGTCCAAGGCCTTTGTGCCCAAATGCCGCACTTACGTCTACCGATGATGAACGGTGGCATCGACAACATCAAGACACAATCATGGTATGCAGACTTCCTGTGGCCGAACTTTGTGGTTGAGAAAGTGCAGCTCGGAATGCTTATATGCCTGTGAACCACCAGTGCAGCTAAGCACTTAAAGCATACTTCCTCGTAAGATGAAAGCTGCCGCAGCCTCCTGTAGCTAGAGTCCCTATAGAGGGTAGTTGCGATGATGATGGCACCTGAGGCACCAGACAGCACTGCCAACGCTCTTGGTGACCTCTCGTGAGAGCCGCATCCCGCCGCAAGCATCAAGCTCAAGCTCGCAAGCTTCATGCAACGCCAGTGCATCCAGTGCCGGTAGTGCCGGCAGGACAAAGGCGCAGGCCAAGTTCTTGGAGCGTGTGCTCAAGAAAGCTTGAGCTGCGGCTCCATTTTCGAAGTTTCATTTGCCAGTCTGACCGCTGCCTGAAAACAGGCAGGCTGCACATCACGACATATCAGGACATTACACCTGAAAAGTTTTTGGAGACAGCTGACACGCTTCTGAAATGCTAGGGGGCCGGGCTAACCGCTGCTCCTCTCGCTTTGCTAGAGCACGGATGGTTTGTCGCCTCTGCAGCTAGTTTGTTTCGAGCAGTGTCGGTTAGAATCGCAGATCTTCCAAAGATGGGTTTCTTGGAAACCGTAATCCTGTCCGCGCTGCATGCCTCGCTGCTGTGCCCTGTATGTTCGAGCGCTACGATTGCACTGCTCGACCACGAGGAGGAAAAGCGGCGCCAGCGGTGGGCAGACTTCGTCTTCGTTCCTGCAAACTTGGATGCCGGCTCAGCGTCTCCTCCGCAGAGTTTGGAAGCTTGTCGTGGACTCGATCTTCAATCCGAGCTTGGGCCCGCAGCAATGGCTTCGAAACGTGAACTGGGAAGTGGTGCGTTTGGTGATGTCACACTGCACGAGGAGGACGGGAAATCGTACGCCCTCAAGACGATTTCCCACCAGCTGCTAAAGCACCGCCAGCTTGAGGCCGCTGCACAGGTGGAGCGCGAAGCCCTCAATATGCCAAGGACATGCGTGCATTGTCCGGTTCTACGGACATGTGGAGTCTGTGGCAAACACAGTTCTTGTGATGGAAGTGTTGCAAGACCTCGTGGGTGTGTATACTTCTGCCAGCCTTTGGGGCAACCCGGCGGTTCGCGAACACGTGGCGTGTGTGGCGGAGGCGCTCTCCTACATGCACTCCAAGCAGATCATGCATAGAGATGTGAAGCCCAAGAACATGTTGTTGGACAACATGTTGTTGGACGCCCGTGGCTGCTGCAAGCTGTGTGATTTTGGATCCGCGAAGCTTTGCAGTGGCCGTGCTTATAGTTTTGTGGGCACAGCGGAGTACATGGCCCCCGAGATGGTAAGGAAGACCGGCCACACTGCTGCTGTGGACTGGTGGGGTTTGGGCTGCGTCCTTTTCGAGCTGCTGTCCGGCCAAGGACTTTTTTCTGGAAGGCGAGACGAGGTGTTTAGTTCCATCGACCGGGGAGTTAGCGAGACGGCCTTTGCAGACTTGGCCTTTGAGAGTGCTTCCGAGCTTGTCCAAGGCCTTTGTGCCCAAATGCCGCACTTACGTCTACCGATGATGAACGGTGGCATCGACAACATCAAGACACAATCATGGTATGCAGACTTCCTGTGGCCGAACTTTGTGGTTGAGAAAGTGCAGCTCGGAATGCTTATATGCCTGTGAACCACCAGTGCAGCTAAGCACTTAAAGCATACTTCCTCGTAAGATGAAAGCTGCCGCAGCCTCCTGTAGCTAGAGTCCCTATAGAGGGTAGTTGCGATGATGATGGCACCTGAGGCACCAGACAGCACTGCCAACGCTCTTGGTGACCTCTCGTGAGAGCCGCATCCCGCCGCAAGCATCAAGCTCAAGCTCGCAAGCTTCATGCAACGCCAGTGCATCCAGTGCCGGTAGTGCCGGCAGGACAAAGGCGCAGGCCAAGTTCTTGGAGCGTGTGCTCAAGAAAGCTTGAGCTGCGGCTCCATTTTCGAAGTTTCATTTGCCAGTCTGACCGCTGCCTGAAAACAGGCAGGCTGCACATCACGACATATCAGGACATTACACCTGAAGTTTTTGGAGACAGCTGACACGCTTCTGAAATGCTAGGGGGCCGGGCTAACCGCTGCTCCTCTCGCTTTGCTAGAGCACGGATGGTTTGTCGCCTCTGCAGCTAGTTTGTTTCGAGCAGTGTCGGTTAGAATCGCAGATCTTCCAAAGATGGGTTTCTTGGAAACCGTAATCCTGTCCGCGCTGCATGCCTCGCTGCTGTGCCCTGTATGTTCGAGCGCTACGATTGCACTGCTCGACCACGAGGAGGAAAAGCGGCGCCAGCGGTGGGCAGACTTCGTCTTCGTTCCTGCAAACTTGGATGCCGGCTCAGCGTCTCCTCCGCAGAGTTTGGAAGCTTGTCGTGGCGATCTTCAATCCGAGCTTGGGCCCGCAGCAATGGCTTCGAAACGTGAACTGGGAAGTGGTGCGTTTGGTGATGTCACACTGCACGAGGAGGACGGGAAATCGTACGCCCTCAAGACGATTTCCCACCAGCTGCTAAAGCACCGCCAGCTTGAGGCCGCTGCACAGGTGGAGCGCGAAGCCCTCGAAATATGCCAAGGACATCCGTGCATTGTCCGGTTCTACGGACAGTCTGTGGCAAACACAGTTCTGTGCAAGCGTGGGTGTGTATACTTCTGCCAGCCTTTGGGGCAACCCGGCGGTTCGCGAACACGTGGCGTGTGTGGCGGAGGCGCTCTCCTACATGCACTCCAAGCAGATCATGCATAGAGATGTGAAGCCCAAGAACATGTTGTTGGACGCCCGTGGCTGCTGCAAGCTGTGTGATTTTGGATCCGCGAAGCTTTGCAGTGGCCGTGCTTATAGTTTTGTGGGCACAGCGGAGTACATGGCCCCCGAGATGGTAAGGAAGACCGGCCACACTGCTGCTGTGGACTGGTGGGGTTTACCATGAAGCTGGCAAGGTGAGGTGACGGACACGAACGTGCAACATCTTGAGAGGCCTGCAGCCCTAAACCCTAAACCCTAAACCCTAAACCCTAAACCCTAAACCCTAAACCCTAAACCCTAAACCCTAAACCCCACACCCTATAGTGGCGACCCAGCAGTTAGAATATAATTTTTTTTGGCGTTTACCCTCCGCCCAGTACATTTTTATTTTTTCAAAAAAATTTTACCATCGCGCAAAACTAGCAGTTAGAATATTGTTTTTCCAGAACTAGCAGTTAGAATATTTTCCAGAACTAGCAGTTAGAATATTTCTTGGCCAAAACTAGCAGTTAGAATATTTTTTCAGAAATTGCAGTCCTTTTTCTCTTTATATCATCGAAACCCTAAACCCTAAACCAGAACCCTAAACCCTGTATATATATATAAACGCAAAACCCAAAACCCTAAACCCCACACCACACGGGGCAGGGGGGGTGTTTATGCACTTATATATACCGGGTCCGGTATATGCTGGACCGTGGAGTGCATACACTTCCGTGAAGAAGGCCCCAACCCCCCTGCCCCCAGAAATATTCTATCTGCTGGTTCTGCAAGGAGCTGTGAAGGCCAGGAAGGCCTGAAAGAGCCCTGAAGAAGGCCCCAACCCCCCTGCCCCCAGAAATATTCTATCTGCGGGTTCTGGAAGGAGCCGTGAAGGCCTGAAAGAGCCCTGGAGAAGGCCCCAACCCCGCTGCCCCCAGAAATATTCTATCTGCTGGTTCTGCAAGAAGCCGTGAAGGCCAGGAGAAGGCCCCAACCCCCCTGCCCCCAGAAATATTCTAGCTGCTGGTTCTGCAAGGAGCCGTGAAGGCCAGGAAGGCCTGCAAGAGCCCAAAAAGGCACCGACCCCCCTGTTTTTAGAAAAAACCTATGTGCTGCTTCTGCAAGCAGCCGTGAAGGCCTGAAAGAGCCCTAAGGCCCCAACCCCCCCCTCTGGGACCCTTAAAATGCCAGGAAGGCCTGAAGAGGCCTGGAGAAGGCACCCCCCTGCCCCCAGAAATATTCTATCTGCTGGTTCTGCAAGGAGCTGTGAAGGTCAGGAAGGCCTGAAAGAGCCTTGAAGAAGGCCCCAACCCCCCTGCCCCCAGAAATATTCTATCTGTGAAGGCCTGAAAGAGCCCTGGAGAAGGCCCCAACCCCCTGCCCCCAGAAATATTCTATCTGGTTCTGCAAGGAGCCGTGAAGGCCAGGAGAAGGCCCCAACCCCCCTGCCCCCAGAAATATTCTACCTGCTGGTTCTGCAAGGAGCCGTGAAGGCCAGGAAGGCCTGCAAGAGCCCAAAAAGGCCCCGACCCGGAGCCGTGATGAAAGAGCCCTAAGGCCCCAACCTTTTTCTTTTTTGGGACCCTTAAAAGGCCAGGAAGGCCTGAAGGGGCCTGGAGAAGGCCCCAACCTGCCCCCAGAAATATTCTATCTGCTGGTTCTGCAAGGAGCTGTGAAGGCCAGGAAGGCCTGAAAGAGCCCTGAAGAAGGCCCCAACCCCCCTGCCCCCAGAAATATTCTATCTGCTGGTTCTGCAAGGAGCCGTGAAGGCTGAAAGAGCCCTGGAGAAGGCCCCAACCCCCTTGCACCCAGAAATATTCTATCTGCTGGTTGTGAAGGTCAGGAGAAGGCCCCAACCCCCCTGTCCCCAGAAATATTCTACCTGCTGGTTCTGCAAGGAGCCGTGAAGGCAGGAAGGCCTGCAAGAGCCCAAAAAGGCCCCGACCCCCCTGTTTTTAGAAAAAACCTATCTGCTGGTTCTGCAAAGGAGCCGTGAAGGCCTGAAAGAGCCCTAAGGCCCCAACCCCCCTCTAGGACCCTTAAAAGGCCAGGAAGGCCTGAAGAGGCCTGGAGAAGGCCCCAACCCCCCTGCCCCCAGAAATATTCTATCTGCTGGTTCTGCAAGGAGCTGTGAAGGCCAGGAAGGCCTGAAAGAGCCCTGAAGAAGGCCCCAACCCCCCTGCCCCCAGAAATATTCTATCTGCTGGTTCTGCAAGGAGCCGTGAAGGCTGAAAGAGCCCTGGAGAAGGCCCCAACCCCCTTGCACCCAGAAATATTCTATCTGCTGGTTGTGAAGGTCAGGAGAAGGCCCCAACCCCCCTGTCCCCAGAAATATTCTACCTGCTGGTTCTGCAAGGAGCCGTGAAGGCAGGAAGGCCTGCAAGAGCCCAAAAAGGCCCCGACCCCCCTGTTTTTAGAAAAAACCTATCTGCTGGTTCTGCAAAGGAGCCGTGAAGGCCTGAAAGAGCCCTAAGGCCCCAACCCCCCTCTAGGACCCTTAAAAGGCCAGGAAGGCCTGAAGAGGCCTGGAGAAGGCCCCAACCCCCCTGCCCCCAGAAATATTCTATCTGCTGGTTCTGCAAGGAGCTGTGAAGGCCAGGAAGGCCTGAAAGAGCCCTGAAGAAGGCCCCAACCCCCCTGCCCCCAGAAATATTCTATCTGCTGGTTCTGCAAGGAGCCGTGAAGGCCTGAAAGAGCCCTAAGGCCCCAACCCCTCTCTGGGACCCTTAAAAGGCCAGGAAGGCCTGAAGAGGCCTGGAGAAGGCCCCAACCCCCCTGCCCCCAGAAATATTCTAGCTGCTGGTTCTGCAAGGAGCCGTGAAGGCCAGGAAGGCCTGAGAGAGGCCTTCGGTGAAAGCTCAGGACCGTGGTTCCCAGAGTCTAGGGCCCGCAGTGGTACCCTTATTTCTTTCTTAAGGCTTAGCTGCTCAACCATGACCCTGAACCGTAAACCCTATAAACCCTAGGAGTATATACATCGTGGAGATTGGAGAGAAATCACAGCCGGACCTGACCCCGAAGCAGACACGCGTCTATGTCTTGACCCTCTAAGGCTCTGCAACTCTGCGCCCTGTTCTCCAAATTGGGGAATACCCTTTTTGGGGAGTTCGGGTCCAGGGTTCAGGGTTCAGGGTTCAGGGTTTCGGGTTGAGGGTTTAGGGTTTTAGGGTCTATCAGGGTATTAGGCTATTTCCCAGCGTCCATTTGTAGCACCGCAATGCATTAGGCAAGGAAAGCCCTATTTAGCATGGCTTGCAGCTTGCGGTTTCGAGTTTCTAGAAGACTCCAAGCCGTAAACCCCGTTTAGTTTTGGCCAAGAATATTTTAATTGCTAGTTTTGGCCAAGAAATATTCTAACTGCTAGTTCTGGAATAAGAATATTCTAACTGCTGGTTCTGGAAAACAAATATTCTAACTGCTAGTTTTGGCCCGGGGGTAAAATCTGGCCGTTTACCCTCCGCGCCACAAATATTCTAACTGGTCCCTGCCCGTTTTCCAATATTCTAGCTGCTAGGTCGCCACTATAAACCCTGAAACCCTAAATCCTACACCCTAAACCCTTAAACCCGAAGCCCTAAACCCCAAACCCTAAGCCCTATACACCCTAAACCCTAAACGGTATGGCTCCTCGCGGTCCCCAGCTTCGGGGCAAGAAGGTTTGGGGTTGCAGTGCAAGGTGTGCCCCCTGGTTCTTCTTAGGCAATGGGGGAAGGAGGTACCCTACAGAATATCACCCTACAGAATATCTGGGTTTAGGGTGTAGGGTTTAGGGTTTAGGGTTTGGGTTTAGGGGTTTTAAGCGTATATATAGGGGGATATAGGGTACCTCATTCCCTCATTCCCAACAAAGAACAGCCAGCTGCAAGGAGTGCGGAGTTTACGGGTGTTCGTAGAAGGGCGCTTTGGGAAGAGATGCTCCATGTGGGGGGGGGTTTCCGAAATACCGGAATCCTACTACTTGGGGACTAAATTGGGGGTCCCTTGTTTTCGTAAACCCCTATATGAACAGGCATATGAACAGTTCATATGAGCAGTCATCTCTTGGAATTGTTGCCCCTTATGCTGATAGTCCTTAATCGGGATTATAATAGGGGTACTGTAATCCCTATTAAGGGCTGTTGGAATAAGGGGGGAACATCCCAAGTCATCTTTTGGGTCCCCTACATAAAAACAGCATCCTTGCAAATCAGCACCCACAGGAAAGACCCCATATTTGGTCCGATTCCACCAAGACCGGGACTGTGCACATACTTCATAAAGTGTGCGGAGGACCGCCGGCTCGGTACCCAAAAAACCCAAACGTCGGGTGCCTAAACCCTAAACCCTAAACCCTAAACCCTAAACCCTAAACCCTAAACCCTAAACCCTAAACCCTAAACCCTAAACCCTAAACCCTAAACCCTAAACCCTAAAGCATAAGCACCCAAACCCTCATAGCCTTAAGCCAGTTTGGGGGCGCAGAGTTGTGGTTATAGTGGGGGTTGCCAGTCCCATCTCCTCAACTGGGTGGTTTAGGACTTCCGCAGGCTATTCTTGGAGTGCCAGCCCAGAATCTCAGAGGGGATGGTTCACCAACCCCTACAATACCCCTACACCCTAAGCCCCTAAGCCTGAATTAACCCTAAACCCTCAACCCCACCCCCAAGTTTCCGTCCCCAGAGAATAGTGGAATGCCCAGTCTCAGACAAATGCAGATGAAAATCTCCGGAGTGCCCGGTTCGAGATGATCCCGGCAGTGCCATGAAGCTGCTTAGTATGAGGGTTTAGGGTTCAGGGTTTAGGGTTTAGGGTATGTTCTACGAAACTACTGTTATTGTTCGCGTATGTCGTTTGGTGTTGGAATCAAAAATTCCTAATGTTTGTCGTTCTATCTGCTTCATTTCAGGGGCTAGGTGGTTTCGGGGAAACCCTACGCCCTAAACCCTAAACCCTAAACCCTAAACCCTAAACCCTAAACCCTAAACCCCCAAACCCCCAAACCCCCAAACCCCCAAACCCCCAAACCCCAACCCTAAACCGTCCACCCTAAACCCCAAACCAAGAACCGAAACTCTGCTGTAGTTTGGAGTTTTGGGTGGTCCCTAAACCCTAACCCTAAACCCTAAACCCTAAACCCTAAATTCTGAACCCTAAACACTAAACCCTAAACCCTAAAC